GTTATTGTTGTTGTTGTTGTTGTTGTTGTTGTTGTTGTTGTTGTTGTTGTTGTTTTCTTAATTTCTTTTTTAAAATTTGCATTTCCACTAACAAACCTGCGCCGTGCCGCAGTCACATTGCTCTCCTTCCTCCACCACTCGATTGCCGCAGAAGGGCGCTTTGTAGGCCATGTCGACACGAGGTCTGTTCAGGAGGCACTGGGCTGAACCGAACCCTAGAAAATCCCGGAAGTCTCTTATGCTGCAGCTGCTGAACGCCTTGACGCCGCTGGCCTGTCTGGAGGGCAAAAGGCAGGTGAGAAAGGTCTCCCGTCACGCAGAAAACCAAGACAGGGGAGAACTACATTCAAGAAGCGGAACGACCACACAGAGGCCCCCTGTCATGTTTTTAAAGTTTCTTATGGACGGAGGGAAGCCTTTCCACAGGGACCTGCCCGCTGGGAAGCTTCCGAAGGTCTACCGCTGGGTTTCACACAAAGCGGGCCCTTGGGGGGCATCTTCCTGATCTGCGTGTGGGATGAAACCTGGCACTTTCCAAGGTACCAAAACTATGTTTCCACCGTAGTACCCTCATCTCGGAATAGGGCTCAGATAAAGAAATGTTGCTTTACAAGAAAGACGAAACACCACCAGGATTTCTCTAGCCAGGGATAATGGGGCATATCTCCAGCTCTAAGCTCTGCTTGGCTCCTCATGGACAAAGAGGTGGCCAACCTCAGGGCTCTCTTTCAAAACATCTGCCGCAGCAGGACCATCATAATCAGTGCCTGCAGTTTCACTTAACCGCTGACTGAAAATATTAAATTAAAAAAACCCAGTAATACGCATTTCCAAAATGTATTACCAGAACTGGCCACTAGATGGAACCGGAGACAGTGCAATATATATAGTATTTGTGATTTTTCTGAATCTGCAAGAGGGGCTTGAAACCAACCCCTGTGGATACCACAGTATGACTTTCTAATAAAGAGGCTATGCATGGACACAGGGTAGGATAATGCAGAACCCCTTTGTTCTGTAACTTCTTCCCCCTCGCAACCCCTCACAGGATGTCTGAAGGCCAGACAACCCTATTTTTGGTGAGAGAGGACAAAGAGCCTTCGCTGTGTTTGGGTCCCCTCGTACTGGGTGCATTTGCTCCCTCTTCTCTTGACAAGGATGGATGGTAGTCCCTTGCTTCTAAGGGAGATAAGAAAGGGGACCAGGGCTGCCCCAACTTGGAACGCTTGGGAGTTCCTGTGGTTGATGACGTACATGGGCAGATGGAAAGATGGATAAGAGCATCACGGCGGGGTCTCTTTATCTACTGGCAAGGGACGGACCACAACATATGGCTTTGCTTAAGTAACACAACAGAAGTTTGGCAAGACAGAGAGACGGATGAATTCGTAATATACCTCAAGCATCGTGTTAATGGGACAGAAAACCACAGACGTGGGTGCAGGTCCTTACATGGCTTTGGTATCCATCAGGCAGGTGGCCCCTGGGCATAAGCAGTGACGGCCGTTGTCGAAGAACAGTCCCAGGCTGAACCCCAGCAGCTGCGCCACGATCACCGAGAACGTCTCCAGGGTCATCCCCCGTTGATACTAAACAAGAACACGGATCCATTAACAGCTCACCCACCATATTGTTTTTAATTGTGTGCCACCCAGAGACCTTTGGGTAGAGTGGGCAGCATATAAGTTGAATAAATGAATAAATAAATAATGCCAAATGAGAACTTAAGAAAAGGTTTCAGCTCTGTTGCTCTCAGTTTGAATAGGGAGAAACATTTTTTTCAATCTCACGATGTATATGAACCAGCTCATCTGCAGAGGGTGATCTTTGCACCTTTATACGTCATAAGACAAAGGTCTGGATAATTTTCTTGCAACTTTTCCATACCGATTGGCTAACCTTTTTTTTTCTTATAATGCCTTAGATATTAGGGTTTCCCTCACCCTCAACATTCATGTCCCATTCTGCCCATCTACGCTTCAATGTACTTGCCAGCCACCGATGAGATCTCAATGACCTTTAACCACCACTGTTAAGATCTATACTTATCATTTCCACATCATGACTATCATCATCATCATCATCATCATCATCATCATCATCATCATCATCATCATCATCTTAGAACTAGAAGGGACCCCTTTGGATCATTGAGTCCATCATTTGTTAATGGGGAACTGAACTCCCAATCAGAGACCTAGACCTCTGAGGTATCCAGCCGTTCTAATAACTGCTCTTAATATCAACTCAGTGCTGGTATCTTTTGAATTTCTGTTGCATTTCACATGTACATGGCCATGGTCATGTGCACATGTGCATGCAAACATCATGTAGGTATAACGAGCTGTCCTGCGGGGCTACACTGCATCCCTCTGAAGATGCAGGCTATGACCTTTGAAAGCGTACACCAAGCAGAACTTGAAAGGGTTTAAAGTGCTATAGGATCTGTCCTTCTTTGTTGTCTTCCTATCATCAACCTCATCATCACAGACTATTCCAATAAGCAAGGGTGAGAACCTCAGGATGTGGTTAAGCCACTGAGAGTTGATCCTGACCAGTCTTGGGAAGGAACTGTTTGTGACTGTTACCTTGGCATGCAAAGATGGCGATCTGGTGCCATCAAACATGCCATCCCATACTGCCCACCCCACCTCACTAGCCTAGTGTTTACATTCTTCCCAATAACAACAACATGACTAGACCTTGGAAAACAAGGTTACGCAGCCTTGGCTGTGTAATCCTGCACCTGCTCCACGCACCCTTTAGCCCACTGACCTCAGTAGACCGAGGTGTACTTAAAGGAGGCAGAAGATGGAAGCCATAAAGGGGAGAGGCGGTTTCTATGGGCCAATCTAGAAATAACATTCACTTCAGATCTTCTCCCTCCAATCACTGGATTGCAAGGACATCCACAGACACCTCTCGGGAAATGCAAAAGGAAACACCAGGGAAGTTATCCGCTTCTACCCTGCATTCACCCTAAGCTTTCAGGAATTGCAACAGAACTCAATAAGCAGCGGGTTTTCTTGCTGTTCAGGTAGACACCGTTCAGCAAAGACTATGTGTTCAGCATGACCTTACCACAGCAATCCCTCTGGAAGCCGGTTTCAAACACATCCTTTTTGAAAATGTTCCCCCTACAGAAGCAGCCTTGGTCCTATAGCTGGGGAAAGAGACGGGGAGAGGCTTTGAATTACATGTGGTGCCTTTCCAAATTTACAGCGGATGCATTCTAACTAGTACTTCTGTAATTCACCTTTTTTTTTTGCTCTAGCATGAGATATACCATTTCCCCGAAAATAAGACCTAACCTGAAAATAAGCCCTAGTATGATTTTTCAGGAGGCTCGTAATAGAAGCTTTACCCCAAAAATAAGCCCCAGTCAAGTGAAACCCTGCCCTCCACCCTTGTGCAGCAACCAGAAGAAGACAGGACTGTCTTTCAATAAATGTTAATGGTTGTCCATGAAAAAAATAGAACACTCCCTGAAAATAAGCCCTAATGTGTTTTTTGGAGCAAAAATTAATATAGGACTCTGTCTTATTTTTGGGAAAACATGGAACTTTTTCCCTTGGAATGCCCATTAGCGTTTTTTTCCTAACTGCAATCTTCAGCCATCAAAATATGTGTTTTTTTGTTCTTTTTTCAAAGACACAGTCCATCCTTCTTATTGTCCTAGCATCTCCAATTAAAAGCGTTCCATGCTAAGTCCTTTCTCTGGCTGAGATGCTGCAGAAATGATGCCAGCTAGCAGCATATCTGTGAAGGGTTTCAGTCATCCAGGTGAGTCTGGCTGAAGAAGCTACTTGGAGGAGTAGCGAAACGTTTCAATCTAATAAGGAAGAACTCCAGTTGCCATAACTCAATGTCCAGATGCCAGCTAGTGTCAACATGACCATGGTTGAGATCATGGCAGGCAACCTTCAACTTCCATGTTTCCAAATTTTGAGGTCTGCACAACCCTTTCAACATCACAAAATTGCCAGACAGGAAGCATGCACCTTGTTTATAACACAACTGGACTGCTTCCAGTCTCCTGAAAGCAGCAAATTTTAAAACAAGCTGGTTGTTGTAGGTTTTTCGGGCTGTTTGGCCGTGTTCTGAAGGTTGTTCTTCCTAACGTTTCACCAGTCTCTGTGGCCGGCAACAGAACACGGCCAAAATAGACTGGAAAGCCTACAAGACCATTGGATCCCGGGCGTGAAAGCCTTCAAGAATACGAACACGGCCAAAATAGCCCAGAAAACCTACAATGACCATTGGATCCCGGGTGTGAAAGCCTTTGAGAATACATTAAAACAAGTGTTGTGTTCCCTGTGTAGCTGTGTAGCTTAAAAGGGAACACAAGCTTCTTGTTATTAAATAAGTGTTGTGTTCCCTGTGTAGCTTTGTTCTTAAAAGGGAACACAAGCTTCTTGTTATTGTTATTACCATTGTGATACTGTCAAAATTTGGCAGTGCGGTGAGGGTGAGGATCTGCAAAGCAAATCCCAATAAGGTAAGAAATAGTAAGAGCAGACCTTTGGTCTAAATGGTCAGGGTATAAATCTAATAAATAAAATAAAATAAATCTGATCTTCAGACCCAGGAAAGTTGCTAAGTGGACTTATAGTTGACATATGATCTCATTTGATCCCAGGCTAAGCTGATGCTAAGGCTAGTATCTAAAGATAACTTGATGCTGGCTTGTCTCACACTCATCAACCTCTTGTCCAACCGTCATGTTCCCTGCCCTTGCACAAGAATCATAGAATCATAGATTTGGAAAGGGTCTAGAAAGGCACTAAACCCAACTCTCTGATTAATGCAGTGATCCAAATCAAAAGAGATTTGACAGAGGGGCTCCAATTTTCTCTTGAATGCCTCCAGGTCATCAACTCCTGAGGTCAATGGTTCCATTGTCATACCGCTCTAACAGTCGTCATATTGCTCCAATAGGCTCGCTGCCATAACTCAAGTGTCGTCCTGTTGCTTCAATAGGCTCGCTGCCATAACTCAAGTGTCCTTATTCATTCTCTGGATCGTTCCAATTGAATGTGCAATGTTTTCTATATCTTGCCTGGACCTCTACTAAGAGGTGTTTCCCTATAATTAGGACAATACTGGAGGCTCCCTTCTATAAACAACAGGAAAAAAGTGCATCACTTACACAAATAAGAAGGCCATGTCATGGGGTCGTAGAGTGAGGTGGACCTGCTTCCACTTCACAAACATTTCTAGCAACTGGTCAAGCGGTCTCAGGGTGGAGAACTCATCTTTGTCTGTCCAAAACTCCAAAGAAGACAATACAATCCTTATGTTGAGTTTGTAGAACATCTGAAAGCAGAAGCAGAGAAGGCTTAGAGAGGATTGGCCATAGAAGTGAACAGAAGAAAAGGAGGGCAGCCAGCAGGCCAAGAAGGGCCCGGATCCCTAGGGAGCAGCAACGCTGGGGCGAACGGACTCGTGGCCTCGCTCGAGACAAGGCAGCTGCAGATATCTAGATAACTCTGCAAGACCAAAACCAGCAGGTTGCATTACCAATGAACTGCTGCTTTTTGCAGGGTCAGGGGCTCTTTCAAGCTGCCGTGAGATCTCTGGCATGGAGAAGGGAAAAGTTAGCTTTGGGAACTGAAACTCACACAATGACTATTTATCCCCAGATAAAAAGACAGTGACTTACGGCATTGATATAGCTGAACAGCTGGAAGATTTTCCCCATCACGTTCTCTTCATTTGAACCCATGTAATCATACTGGAAAAGAACAACGCGTCCTTGTGAGCAGTAACATCTTATGACCATATTCCCACGCATTGTCTGTTTCAGATGTTTAAGAGGTTTTTGTCTGTTTGTTTAAAAAAAAACTATGTTGCACACTTAAAGATGGAAAGTGGGACTCTGAAGGGAAAATAGGTTTTCAAAAAAACATCATGGTCATTTTTCTTTGAGGGTTCATATCGGTAAGTGGTTCAGAAACTTTGGAGACCGGTAAAAAAGGTGTTACTCAAAAAAATGAGAAATGCCAACCCTTATTATTGTGAGGAAAACAGCCTATAAATAAAGCAAGCGAATAAAATAATACATTAATAAATTAAATTTAGTTGTGGAATAGACTGCCCTCCCATACATACACCTTTCAGGTAAGGAAACTTAGATTATACACTGATTTGGTTAGGCAAATAATAGTAGCTATACAGAAGAAATAGGGTTCTGAAGCCGCGTATCGGGCATAAGAACCCTTCCCAATGACGTCTAAATTCCAAAGTGTTTCAGAACAACCTTTTGATTTGGAAAGCCAAGAGAAAATATAATATGCACTTACCAGGGACTTGGCCACAATGACATGCATTTCCACGTATCTCACAGTGCTGAAGTTAACCTGTTTTAATACGAGGGGAAAAAGCAAGTATAAGACCTTACTGACGCTTTCTTATCATGCACATGCTATAATGAAAAATCACCAGTGGAACTAACGTTTCTACTGAATGTAGGAGAGTCTCTTTGATTTACTCAGTCTGGATTTTACTGGATTTCCACCAAAGCTTGAAGAGGTGAAGTGTTACTTTTAGGAGGATGGAAACGGGAAGTCCCTATAGCTCAGTGGTATAAGTTCAGTTTTTGGGATCTCTGATTATAGACAGCTCAGGAACGGGCTTCGTTTTGATTCTGAACAAAATCTATTGAATTCAGACCTCTTGGAAGTAAATATTCACCTAAACTGCAACACACAAACTGTAGATTGGGGAGGGAAGCAAAGCACCCCGTTGTGCTTACAATTGCAATTTAATTATGCAGGCTACATGTTGTGCCTTCCCCCAGCAACCTGGGGACTCAGTTTACCAACCTTGTCCCCCAACAACCTGGGGACTCAGTTTACCAACCTTGGAAGGATGAGAGGCTGAATGAACCTCGAGCCAGATACTTGGGATCAATCCCAGGTGGGGAGCAGAGTTTCAGCTGCGAGCCAGCTACTTGGGATCGATCCCAGGTGGGGAGCAGAGTTTCAGCTGCAGTATCGCAGTTTAACCACTGCGCCATGAGGCTCCTTCTTAAACTTGAAATCTGATTCGTGTATGGAAATGAACATGTTTATGATACATGGGGATAGTTGCCTGCCTTTCCAGTGCACAAAAAAAGCTGTCAAACAACCCCAGCGCTTTTATTTTTTGGATTCTGCCCTTAAGGCAGCGATTCTGTACTTAGGGGTGTGAAAATAACTATCATGGAGCATTACTCTTGAGAAAACAAGCCTTGCCTGGCAGCCAACTATGGGCTTCTGTCTCGCCTACATGTGCATAAATAGCCACATCACAAAAGCACCTGTAGCCAACTATTTTCATTTCTTTTCAGACACAAATTGCAGTAGAAAAGGCTAGCTTTAGGAACTTCCTCAGTGGAAGGAAATACTTCCCAGGCATGCAAATGACTCTTTAGGTCCTTCATTCTTTTTGCACATAAAAAAAAACAAAAAACAAAATATGTGTCTTCTAAAGATAAGGACTCACAGGTGTAGCTGGGTTTGCTCTCTGGATCATTCCCGGACTCCATTTAATGGAATAATTCTCTTTAGACGCTTGGAGGTCTGTGTTGTTGTATTCTATCTGATAAACAAGATGCTGGAATCCAGAAGCAGACTCCACGGGCTCAATTCCATAGCTGATGTTCTCAATCTGTAACAGACCACTGCCAACAGGCAGGTGAGCAGCAGGGAGGAAAGAGAGGAGTTTATTGGTGCCAAGCATGACTTAGGTAATTCCATCGCTGACCCCCTATTCGGATGCAGTGCTTCAGCACAGTAGTTCTAGGGTGTGATTAGTTAAGTCACAGAGCTAAATATCCCTTGTGTCAGCCTTCCCTGATCTGGTGTGCCTCAGATGTGTTGAGCTATAGATGCCCCATGGACTGACTGATGGAGATTGATGGGAACCGTAGTACATAAGGTTTGGGTGGCCATAACTTGAGAAGATTGTTTTAAGTAAAGCATGTAATTTAGCAACAGAGTTAGGTGCGGACTATGGAAGAAACCTTTCCTCGTCACTCGATCGGAGGTTGGAAGTATGACTTTTGGGAATACAAATCCCAGAATCCCCAGTTGGCATGGGCCCGTGCAGGCTGGCGAGATTAGGAGATGTAGCCCCCAAATAGCATCACCAAGCCCCACATCTGATGGAAGCTTTTCCCTAGCAGAAGAGCCAAGCACCACCTCCTGTGCTAAACAGCTGCTACGATGCTACAGTGTTGAACTCAAGCCTCCATCACTCTTCATCTGATGCAGGACTAGGAGAACCCATGGTCCTCCAGACATGATTGGGCTGCAAGTCCCATCAGCCTTCGGCTAACAATGAGGAACAGAGGGATTTGCAGGACGATGAGATCTGGAATTTGACACCCCCTCTATTTGATCCAAAGTGCATTTTACCCCAGAAACAACAGGGATTTGCTGAAACACACGCCGTTTAGAGATGGGGAGACAGAGAGACTCAACGCAACATCCAGAGAGAAAAAGAGGGAAGGAAAGGCTTATATAGTAAATGTTCCATAAAACACCAGCATTGTGAATGTGGCTTTGTGGCTCTCTGGAGGGAGGGTTGCGCACAGGGTTGCCCGTGTCGCCTGCAAAGCGCCCGTGTGCCACCCGATGGAAGGACTGAGAAATCACTCTTGTGTAGGTTTATCTCTTGAAAATCCTTTGCCGTAAGTTAGAAACTGACTTGACAGCAGATCGTGATTCATTGTTCAGGGGTTTCCAAACAAACAGAAGACAGGTTTTTAGGAAAGAGGGAAAGGGGCACCAGATAGAAGTCTCTTCTGTGCCGTAGCATCGAAGTCTGACAAGACAGTGGCTCGGTTTGAGCGGATCCGTGATTCTGCCTTCCTCAAGACGCGGGTGCGGTGATTTGAGACAGATAATTCGACAGTCACAGGGAAGGCCTTACCTGAGCCCAGAGCAGGCACTGAGCATCACGAGGGAATCTGCATAACCGTCTGCATAACCTTGATAGTAGCAATCCCTCTACAGGGAATAATGAGAGCTATTTGTGAACAAGCAGGAGGGCATTTAGGAACTTGAAGAGAAAGGAGAGAAGGACATGGAGACAGCTACAAGGATCTCTCTTCCAAACACGCATCCAGATGCAAGAGAGCCAATCCTACATCACTCAAACCACCGCCACCGTCAGATGGACTGGCTCTTAGGAATAGACCCTCGTGTTTCTGCTAATAATACCAGATTGTTTGCTTGTCTGTGGTTTTATGCAGGAAGGAATGGGGCAAGCCGTTCTCTTTCATGGTCTCTGTAGATCACACAACTGGGGAGGAACCACAGTTGCAGGTAAGCATCCTCATCAGGCAAAATCCAAAGAAACCGAAACCAAACCATGGTCGCACCTTAAAGACTATTACAGTGTTTCCCCAAAAATAAGACATGGTCTTATATTAATTTTTGCTCCAAAAACACATTATGGCTTATTTTCAGGGGATGTTTTATTTTATTCATGTACAACCATCTAAATTGATTCAAATACAGTCATGTTATCTTCCTCTGGTTGCTGCACAAGGGTGGAGGGCAGGGTTTCACTTAACTAGGGCTTATTTTGGGGGTACGGTTTATATTATGAGTATCCTGAAAAATCATACTAGGGCTTATTTTCAGGTTAGGTCTTATTTTCAGGGAAATTGTATCTTTTAATGTGAGCTTTCATGGACACATCCACTTCATCAGACATACGGAAACAGAACGAAATGTTGCATGAAATATCAGTTTCACAAATAGAAGATTCTAAATATTCCTCCAAAATTACAGGTAAGCAACCTGTCATTCTTCCTTGCTTAAATGGGAGATCTAAGTACAAATCCCAATCTCCCCCAGCTATTCTGAAGGATTCTTAGACTTGTAGTCCAAATAGCAACATTTTGAAGCTTGAGTGGTTAACCCTTTAATGATGCACCTTCAGGCAGATCGACTAGTTGATCAAAGTTCGTACAAGGAATCAATTATTATTGTTCTAATTTGCTCGCTGCTCTAACGTAGCTAAAGAGCAACCAAGCGCAAAGCCTCTAGCTTCTTTTTTCTAACGAATCTTACCTTAATAGAAGGGGCTAAAGACATCACGGATCCTGCACGGCTGTATGTATAAACTCTGAAATCATTGGTTAAAAAGGCTCTACAAAAAAAATAAAAATACAAAAAAACACACATGTGCACAGATGACCTCTCCAAATCCTCCACATAGTTTTCAGTTTTCCAGGACCTAATCTGGATCAGGACCACAGGCTAGTTATTCCCAATGACACTCACCTATCAGAAAGTCCTAGTTTGTTAAGAGTAAAACCACACCTTGGAAGGAAATACAGAGAGCAGAAGGGATACTGGCGGCGGGGGGGGGGGGGGAACAAGGTAAGAAAAACAGAATTAACCTCAACTCCCCCTATATTATGGCCCTAATCTAGATTAGGGTGGGGTTTTTTCCTTCTGAAGAGATAAAAGAAGAAAGCAGCCACTCTTTGACAGGTGTTTAAATCCCTAATAGTAGCTTAATAGATGTCTATGTTGGCTTGGGCATGTCATGAGAATGGCTGATGGTTGAATTCCAAAAGATCTCCTGTATGGAGAATGAGTGCAGGGAAAGCGCCCCAGAGGGAGACCACAGCTGCGATACAAGGATATCTGCAAGTGGGATCTGAAGGCCGTAGGAATGGACCTCAGCAGATGGGAAAACTTGACATCTGAGCATTCAGCCTGGAGGCAGGCGGTGCATCATGGCCTCTCCCAATTTGAAGAGACCCTTGTCCAGCAGGCTGAGGCAAAGAGGCAGTCCCGAAACCAGCAAAACCAGGGAGCTGGAAAGGGGACAGATTGTATTTGTCCTCATTGTGGAAGGGATTGTCAATCTCGAATTGGCCTCCTCAGCCACACCAGATGCTGTTCCAAGTCCTCCACACAGAGCACGCTACCATCGACTCTCAAGACTGAAGAATGCCTACGTGAATAGTAGCTTGGAGATGCAAATCACTTTGCCCACACTATAGGGACCAGATCATGAGCATACTTCTGACTCTAAATCACCCCATGAAATCCATAGGTTAACCCTGCATTAGCCACAGTCCCTCAGTTTAACCTCCCCCTTCATAAATGCAAATATATATACAGAAGAAGATCAGGGACTGGGGTGCAATTCTAATTATTTTGTCTACTCACTGTTGTCTCAGGTGAATTGTATAGAGCTTCCCACCCATATGGATATCAAAGCTTATCCTTTCCTGCAACAATCAAAGGTTTTGATGCATTCGTAACCATTTGGTTTAAAGAGTACAGTCCTGCCCACTCAAATCAACCCAAATTCAAATGCTTAAACAGTTTAAGAGCTTCCTAGGTGAAGGCGTTCCTCTACGTACTTATATTAAATCTGCTTTACCCTTTAGATCTACCAGGTGGATAGAAAAACAAACACACCCTCGGCAATCAGACACGAGGCAGAGATACGGAAAGAGGGTTTGCCTTGTCGTAGCGTAAATGCCCTGTCTTTGAAAGTTTGGGTGGCACCACCAACTTCAGCTCCAGATTAATACCCAAGATCCTTTAATAGGAAACAGTTGCTAAGTTTTTAATATAATATGGGGCAAAGCTGGGCACCACAGAAACCATCACTGAATTCTCCCCCTACTAACCCATTTATGGCCCCTGAAGCATCTAGACCAGGATTTCAGCCAGGTCAGATACCTAAAGGACCTCTTGCCTAAGTTAATAGGTTGATTCCCCCAGGTGGCCTACTTTCTGCTCATTGAGTTCAACAGGTTTGGTCCAAATGCAATCAAAACTGGAACCAACCTGGGGGCCAGAATCCTATTAGAGTGTTTTTGCCATTTTGGCCATTTACATGGCAAATCAGCCATAGAATTCTGGCCTTGCTTATCAACTTGTTTGATATAAACGTCCATGCAGGGAGAAAAGATGCTTGAATAAAGTAAACACAAACATAGTACCTTATGTCCAGTGGCATATGATGGGATCCTCTCCGGAACAGTCACTTCCAAAAACGTCCGCTGAGATCCTGAATTGGGGGGGGGGATAACACCCATCATCATGTATGTATTCATTGATGGTTGCCGAAAAGGTATACTTTTCTGTGTGCAGCATCAATTCCTAGGATGCTTTGCCCTTAAAATTTCTACAATACTCTGGACCTCTTGGAGAAGTTGATGGCATTTCAGCTGTCCTCAAATGAGGCCTCGGATGTATTATCCATGCTGCCTCAGGATACTGGGACTTGTAGTCCCAAACACTTGGAACTCACCAGGGATTGGAAGGCTCGTTAAGGGCCATAAAACCATTCCACTATTAAATACCATGCAAAATCTAAACAAACAAACAAACAAAAAACAAGACAAAAGCAGGTGGCACTTTGAAGACTAACCATTATATTTGAATTTGAGCATTCATGAACACATCCACTTTGTCATACAAATGGAGACAGAATGAAATCTTAAATGAATTATCAGTTTCATAAGTAGAACATTCTAAATATTCATTCGCTGTAAGAGTTTTGGGTGTGTGTTACATCACACATGAATAATTTACGGCCTACGTTTGCTGTTGGGTTCTGTTTGTAAACATTCCTATGGGAGACAGAAAACAGAGTATCTCCAAACCCAATCTGTATTTTAAATATTTGTCACATAGACCAGGACCAACCTGGGGAGATAGCCTGAATCTATCTTGGATATGTGCGCATAGTTGTACATTTCTGGATTTTTGGAAAACTGGGATAGGATGGGGATGAGAGGACTCTTCTCAACTTCCATCTTTAATGTTCAGTGGAAAACTATCTTGGGAGTCCCTCAAAAAGACATTCCAAGACTAGCAGTCACGAGATGCCCCTTGGGGGTCAATTACTGCATGTAAATTTACCATACACCAATGAATATTTAGCATGTTCTGTCTATGAAACTGAAGACAGGAGGGCCTGGTGAGCTCTGGTCCATGGGGGTCACGAAGAATGGGACACGACTTAACAACAACATCTATGAAACGGATGTTTCATTCAACATTTCATTCTGTTTTCCGTATGTCTGACGAAGTGGACTCGGTCCACGAAAGCTCACATTCAAATGGAACAGTCTTTAAGGTGCCACATATCTCTGTTTTGTCTTTTTCCTTTGGATTTCCCCCTCTATATGCTTGCACAGAGTAATCAGTGTGTCTCTTCCAAAACTATAGCAGAATTATGGCTTTTCTAGAGGGCAGGTAGGGCCAGCTGGTGGCCAGAGGCCAGGTCCAACCCTCAAGCCACAGAATTTGGCCCTCAAGAATCTGAATCCATTCACAGCAGATGGGAACCGGCAGGGGCCCCATTCCGTGTCGAAGTGTAACGCCCCTCTTCCATGACCAGTTCCCCCAGTGATCCTCTGAATGGGAAAGGCGCTTCCCAGTGGGAAAGGGGATGATGGAGAAGGGGTGGATTCTCCTCCAAGACAGGCTTGAGCCGCGGCACCTCTTTGCGCTGCGCGCCCCAGCTGAAAGCGCATCTCCAAACCCTCCCCTACCCGGCGGGGCGCGGACTCTCAGGATCGCCTGCCCGCCCGCCTGCCCGCCCGCCTGCCCGGAGCTCCTCCTGCCCCGCGTCCGCTCACCCAGCG